TGTTTTAAAAACCCCACCGTGTGGGCCACCATCTACAGGACTGAGCACCCCTGGATCGCTGCAAGTCAAGGCTGTGACGCCACAGGACCTTGTTGAAAGAGGCAGAGTGTCCCAGGTTCCTCTCCCACGTTTAGCCCCCCAAACTCCCCTCTGTCTCCGAGGTTCCCCAGTCTGCCTTCCCCATTCTGTGACGGAGCCGCGGGCTCTGGGGAGAATGCACATCCTGCCTGTCCCGGGCTCGCTATGTGAGCCCAAGCAAGGCGCTTTTCTAAATCTCAGTTTCTAAAATTGTAACATCACCATCTCAGCACGTACCTTGTAGGGTTTCGAGAGTGCCTGGCACGCGGTGTATGCTCAGTAAGAGGCCTTTTTAATAGGATCTGCTGTCTTCGCCTCTCCGGTCAGACCTATTCAGTTTCCTGGCCACGGTCTTGAGGATGATTGAGCTGAAAGGAACTCGGGCACCGTCTGGTGCTGGCAGGAGCAGGAGGCATGGAGCCTGCTTGGTTTTGAGATCAAGCCCGAGACCCGATTTGAGGATAACAGATTAACTAGAAACCTGCTTCTGATGTTACCTTTCAACATGCCCAGATTTGAAGGGTGAAATGGTGGCATTTTCTCTTTGATATTCTATTTAATAGAATAGGACATGAGACACAATAAAGCTATTTTCATTTGGGGAGAAAATTAAATGTAGCCTGAAAACATTTTTATTTTCCCAGTGCAAGCAGGCTGCCACCTACCCTGAGCTCATTTAAGCATCATTTTACAGGTGATCTGCCCAGGCCCAAAAGGTGAACCTCCTTTGAGAGCAGGGTGCACCCCTGAGACCCAGCGCAGTCTTTTCGAATCAGGGCTGGAGCCGGGGCTGCAGGTGGCGGCCCCTTCCCAGGGTGGCACAGCATTAGGTCACCAGCTCCGGAGCCAGACTGCCTGGGCTCATGTCCTGGTGGTGACCTCGCTGACTCTGGGAGCTTTGGGTCACGCCAATTCCCTATGCCTTGTTTTTCTTGCCTGTAAAATGGGATAAGACTACTAATAATTACCTTGTAAGACTGGCATGCAGCTTAAATGAGTTAACAGAAGTTTTACTGTTTCTTCAAACAGTCCCGGGCACATAGTGAACGCTATATAAATGTTAGTTATCATTCCTTTGAGAATTTTTCCTCCCTTTTTTCTTTTCCCTGGTAATTGGCCAGGCCAGAAATTACAGGGACAAAAGTCCTTTCTTGTGTTGAAGTTGCTGATGTGGAAGGGAAATCACAGCTCTCCAATGACGCTGAGCAAGGGAGCCTGGCCGGGCGGCAGCTCAGGAGGCAGGCAGCCTGGGGTCTTGCCCACAGTGGAGCAGGCGGGTCCAGCCTCCCAGCACCCAGCAGATCCGACCCGGGCGGGATGCTGTGTGACCAGCTGCGCCTGTCGCCTTTGCCCACAGAGCCTGTGCCAGGCCGGCTACCCCGGCCTGCGGCCGACTCTGGGTTCAGCAGAGGGAGGCAGGGTTTGACCAGCCTGCAGTGTTACTCACAGGACTGGCATGTGGTTTTAATCCGGCGCTCTGACAGTAATGCTCACGGGCTCCCTCTCATCCTGGCCACGGTTATGAAAATTATTCAACTGGTCTTTAAAAAATGGAACAGAAACTCCCAATTCCAAAATCATCGCCAGTCTCACCGAGACTCTGAGTAACGATGAATCAGTGAGCGGCCAGTGGGGCTGTTTAGAAGGGGGTAGAGGTCAGGGAACAGTACAGAAGGGACTGTCACACCTTTCGTGATGACAGCAGAACTAGAGCCAATCTTGATTTTTTATTTTTTTATATCTTTTTTTTTCTATTTTTAAAATATATCTTTATTGATTTCAGAGAGATGAAAGGAGAGGGAGAGAGAGAGAAAGAGAAACATCAATGATGAGAGAGTCACTGATCGAGCCCACAACCCGGGCATGTGCCCTGACCGGGAATCGAACCCCGATCGCCTGGATCCTAGGTTGACACTCAACAGCTGAGCCCCCCAGCCGGGCACCAATCTTGATTTTTATTACACACACACATACCACCACCACCACCGTCACCACCGTCACCACCACCACCATCACCACCGTCACCATCATTGCCACCATCACCACCGTCACCATCATCACCACCATCACCACCACTACCATCATTATCATCATCACCATGTGGCTCCCCTCAGCCCCTTCTCCCACCCAGAAAACTCCCACCAAGAAACACTTAACAAGTGCTTTGTAGTTTTGTCTGTTTTGATGGGCGAGGAACATGTGGTCCCCATCTTCTCTGCCCCTTCACTGCCCAGCGTGTTATCCCATCCTCCGTGGCAGGTTAGGGGGGGACCAGGTTTTGTCATCTTTTTTTGACACCTGGGAGTTGAGAAAAGATCGCGTTGCCTCTGTCCCGGCTGTTGGTCCCTCTGCAGCAGCCGATGGTGTCAGGGTTTAGAGTGGGCCATTCTGGGAGGTGATCCGGGGCAGGGACAGCTAGTGCCCCAAAGTGAAGCACGATCCCGGTTGGATTTTCCCGAAGTAGAAGAGCATCCTTTCCCTGGGACCCTGTAGAAGTGAGAAAAAGTCCCCTGCTGGCAGCTACGGTAGGAACTGTAATCGAATCCTTTCCTCCAAGGTCCTTGTCTCTGCAAAGGCCACCAGTGTGTGTTGGCATTTTTCTTAAAGTCCTTCTTAGAGGACCCATCTTATGGGACACTGGTTCACGGATTTTCCTGGGACAGGTCGTGGCATCATTGTCACCACAGCCTGAGCCCCATCTGTAGTGATAGCGCTTACACCCTTATTAGTCAAGGAAAGGACGCTGCCCTGGATCACTAATCTGCCTGATGGTTATTGTGTTCTCTCAGGTGAGCAGCATTATAATTCGATACTTGTCTACACTGCACAGTGTTCATGGCTGTAAGTCGGGTCACCAGCCCTCCCCAGGCCATTGAACCGCCCTGCTGTGCTCTGACCCGGGGCCGCATCGAGGGGGCTCAGCTGGGGCGTGCGCAGCGGGGGTCGGCCGGGCTCCACCGCAAGCTTTCCGGTATATGGCGAGTCGTTCCCTTTCTCCTCCTCTCGTGCACTTTTTATTATGCAGCTGAATAGTTCTCTTCAGAGAATGTATTTTTTTCAGCTTGATCAAAGCTGCCTTTCTTTCCCCAGAGCTTCCCTTGGGTGGCCCTGCGGGGACATCTGCTCAGGGCCGTTCTGAATCTTCCTCTCTGCACAGCTGTGCACTTGCCAACTTCCCCAGGTTGTCCGGGGCCAAGCGAGGCCAAGAGGGGATCAAAACATTCTGTCTTTTCGAGACATTTTAAAAGACGGTTTATTTCCCCCAGTGGTGTCCGTAAGTGTGAGAATACAGATGATGAATCCAACGGGAAAACATTTTTCTTTTTAGAGGGAAAACAGAGTCTTTGTCTGCGGCCATTTCCCCTCTTAGTTTTAATTTAAGATACTGGCATCCCTGCCAGCTGTGTGAGCCTGGGCAGCTTTGCGCTCTGGACTTTGGTTTTCTCATCTGTGAACCAGGAACGCTACGGTCCCCACTTCCTTACGCCCTTGTGAGGATTAACGAGATGCTGGCCGACGTGCAACGCAAAGTTAACGTCAGTGAGGAGCGGGACCCAACGCGCCACCTTTCGGGGCCTCCTCTATAGAAACCCTCACCATTTCCCTCGGAGCTGCACCTACCGGGTCTTCAGGGCTGCATTCTTTGCTATAATAAAAATTGGGAATGATCTAAACACCCTTCCTGTACGTAGAGGAAGGGGTAAAGGACGGTGGCACAGTCCCCCTGTGAACCATTGGCCAGCAGTTAAGTAAACTCTATATTGAAAGAGGCAGATATGGAAATGGCCTCAGGACATGTTGTCATGTCAACTAAAGCCAGTTGTGGAATAGTCACTTGCTTTATGCTAAAAATAATTACCACAGGTAGTAGAAGAGACATTGGTAGAGCCACTATGGGAGACAATATGGAGGTTTCACAAAGCATTAGAAATAGAACTGCCATATGTTCTAAATCGAATAGGTTAGAAGATGAAAAAGTTCTGACTCCAAACACAGTGGCTCAAACGGCACCAGGCAGCCCTGTTCCCATGGGTCCTGCAGGCTCCCCAGCTCCCTCCTTCTGGTGGCTCCATGGGGCCTATGCATCAGAATCACTTGGGAAACTTGTAAAAACACAGGTTTTTGGGTCCCTATTTCTGATTGAGTGGTTCTGGGGCGTGGCCTGCAAATTCGCCTTTCTGGCAAGTCCCCAGGTGATGTTGAAGTTGTTGGTCCCTAGGCCATCTGTCGAAAAATCATTGCCCCAGGGTGTGTCCTTGCCAACAGGTGCACAGCTGGTGCTGCCACGTCCATGTGCCAAGAGAGAAAGGCTGGGTAGCCAACTTCCTTCTGAGCAAGACGGGCAGGCAAAAGTGGTGGACTCCTGCCATGGGCAAGGACTTAGTCACATGGCCACCCCTAGCTGCAAGGGAGGCTGGACAGAGTCATCCCTGTGTCCCTGGTAAAGAGAAGAATGTGTTTGTGGGAGACAACCAGAGGCCTGAAGAGTGGCCCTGGGGTTGACACGGAGATCAAGAGAGGGCCAGCACNGACAACCAGAGGCCTGAAGAGTGGCCCTGGGGTTGACATGGAGATCAAGAGAAGGCCAGCACTCAGCAGTAGGGACATGTGCAAAAGACTTTTGGTGCTTGGTGACTAGTGTCATATGGCAGCTTATTCCAGGGGGAAGCCCACATCTGCCTGCAGGCATCAGCAAAGTCTCTGGGATGCAAGCAAGCTAAGCTTTGAAGCAGGAGTGCTGGCCAAGGTGCCCCGAGGTGCCCTGTCCTCTCTTGAGGGCAGCTGGGTGCCAGTCCCCTGGGCTCTGCTCTTTTCCCTCTGCAGGATCCAGGATGCGCCTTCCTGCACCAGCCCTGTTGTTTTGTAGGATGGGCTGATGTTATCCCAGGTCTCAAAATTTCTTTTTCTACCCCATCCCCCAGGCATCTTGGCTCTGGAGAAAGCTACGTGGCAAGAGGCGGCTGGTGATGGCATTCTGCCTCTTGATAGCTCTGTCTGTGATGGCTGTCACCCGCTTCCCCTCACAGCCTCAAGCTCCTGTGGAGCCCCAGGGGGTAACCAGCGCCCCCGCCCCCCACAGCCCGCGGGCTCTGAGCTCCCGCTGGAGGCAGCGGACAAGGAACCTGCGTTTCTGGAGAAGCTGGGCCCTGTCCCGGAGCTCCATCCCCGTGTGTGCTGAGAAGCCAGGCCACGGAGGGAGAGTGGACAGCAGCAGGACCCCGGGAGGGGACAGCAGGCATGTGGGGAGGGTCAAGAGGGACATTGCTTTGGCATCTCTTGGAGATTTGAGACTCAGTACCCAGCGTCCTGTGCCCCTGAGAAAGGATGAGGTGAGGGGTCCAGGAACCAAAGACCTGCGACCCCCTTGGAAGGATGGTCCCATCCGAGAGGCACAGAGTGAGACAGGCACCCTGGTCAGCCCCCTCCCAGGGCACGGGAGAGCTCCTGCTGGAAAGACCCTCCGGCCCCATGCAGCAGAAGGCAGGGATCTGCCAGGAGCTGGGAACAGAACCTTGACTGGTGGGCAGCAAGCAGCGGAGCCCACCCTGGCCATGGGGGCTCGTCGGTGGCCTGGCTCTGTCGCGGAGCTGCAAGGATCCATCTGGTGTGCCCCCGAGCCCCCCGGGCTGTTGACCAGCTTGAGGCCTGGTGGGCAGGTGCCTCCATGGCTCACAGAACATGATGTAGAGACCCTCCAGCTGTTGGCCCAGGGGCAGGTGGTGGGCAAAGCCAGGGTCCCTGGCCACGGGCAGGTGCTGCAGGTTGGCTTCTCTGCTGAGGGTGCCCCTCAAGACGTGACTCCTGGGCTCGGCGGACTCTGCTCCCAGGGCCTCTGTGGCCTGATCAAGAGGCCGGGGGACCTGTTCGAGGTCCTGGCCTTCCACATGGACCGCGTGCTGGGGCTGCACCGGAGCCTGCCTGCCGTGGCCCGGCGCTTCCACAGCCCCCTGCTGCCCTACCGCTACACAGACGGGGGCGCGAGGCCCGTCATCTGGTGGGCACCCGACGTGCAGCACCTGGGTGACCCGGACAACGACCAGAACTCTCTGGCCTTGGGCTGGCTGCAGTACCAGGCCCTGCTGGCCCGCGGCTGCGGCGGGCCGGGCCAGGCGCCCTGCCTGGGCATCCACCACGCCGAGTGGGCACGCCTGGCACTCTTTGACTTTCTGCTCCAGGTACGTGGGGCCGGGCTGGGCGGGGCTGGGGAGCAGCAGGGGTGGGGACAGGTGGGGACTCTCCCCCTAGGCCTGGTCTTTTGACCACCGAGCACCTGTCTTTGTTAATTTTCACCCGGTTAGTTTATGCTGGAAGAGCTTGTATCAGCTCAGGCGAGCTGACAGTTAAAATTTCCAGGAATTTTGTGACCTGGTTGTGAAACACAGGAATTTAAAAATTAAATTATATAAACTAACAATATTATAATTATACTAGCCACAAAGGTAATAAATATTCAGAACTCATTACTTCCTAACTATTTTACTACATTTTCCTGTTATCTGGGCTCTTGAGGTTATTTGCGTCTGTTTAGGAAAGACTGTGCGGTGGCAGTGCCCACTCCACTCAGTCATGCTGGCAGCGCGGCTTGGCCCGGGCGGGACTGTTTACACCACGAAAATCAGCACATGCTGCAGATGGGCCGCCCCTCCTCCCGGGGAGCTAAACACTTATCAGCACACTACTGTTTATAATGTTATACCCGTAACTCAACCAAGACTCAAGATGGTTGTGTAAAAACGGGGGGGGGGAGAGAGGGGGGAATGGATGATACCCATCCAGCCTGAGCACTGGAGAGTGAGAAGGAAGCCACAGGGCAGCTGAGGTCCCTGCTGTGCCAGGAGGTAACCTGGAGTTTCTGGGGACCCTGGGGAAGGGGCTGGAGTTTCTGGGGACCCCCCCCCAGTCAGGGCACAAGGGTAACCAGGGAACTGCGGGCATCGGCTATGTACTGACTGACCTGTGGCCGCTCTGTGGGGCATATTCCGCGTGTCTCCCAGTTGCCTACCGGGATTGCACCCCAGGTACCCGCTGTGGTCATTGCTGGCCCTCCCTGTGTGGTGCCCCTCGCTCGTGTTTTGGGATGAGCTCCCAGATAAACTGCTTTCACTTGAATCCTTGTTTTGAGGTCTGTCTCTGGGGAAGCTGGATCCAGATGATAACACCGACTGGGGAGGTTTCCGCACAGGAGATCCTTCGTGTAATGAACTTAAGACGGTGCCTGGTGGGTGCACAGCTCTCAACAATAAGCAGGCACTGTCCCAACCACTGGTCAGGAATGAACACATCCAGTCTTCAGGGCAAGCTTCCGAGTGAGAGACTACATTTATCTGTGTTAAAGCTGAGAAACTGAGGCCTGGAGAGGTGAAGTTGCTGGTCCAAGGTCATGGCTGGTGGAGTGGAGATGCAGCCCGGTCGGTCTGACTCCAGAGCTCACCTTCTCAATCAGCGTCACTAGTCACCTGGCCTTGACTGAGGGCAGGAAAAGGGGACCTTCTCAGGGATGCCCTTGAAATCGGAGGCACCTCCGTGCAAAGCCCGGGTCCAGCTGATGTGCACATGGCAGCTTTCTGCTCCACACAGAGGCCCTCTGTCTGCGTCCTGGGCTTGCGGTGTGGCCCCTCCTCAGCTGCCAAGGCCAGCTGTGGGGATGGAAGTCTCGGCAGCCAAAGCACACACAGGTTGGGTGTGTGGTCAGACGGGGCTCGGCTGGCCTCATGCCACCTTTTCCCGGTCTGCTGAAGACTGGTCAAGTCCAGCATTCCTGTCTGGCTGGCGCTGCCTTCCTAGAAACCACTGGCGAGTGGAGAGAGGCAGGGCTGTGGCTTTCCCAGCACAGGAACTGGAGCTACCTTCTCACTGGGAGCTGGGTACAAGCTCCACATACAGCCCACTCTGTGGTATGCTTGCACCTTTTGTTTGATCCAGTATAAAGCCTTGTTTTTCTGTGTGTGTGCATCACATCATACGCTTTCCTGGACACAAAATACACAAGCGCTGCACACAGACACATTCCTATACCCCCACAAGTCCTTTGCTTTGAAAGTGCCGTATAGCACTCTGTATTTGTTAGTGATTGTGGAGATAATGCCGTGTAACAAAATTCTCCAAAACTCAACAGCTTAAAACACCAGCTCTTGATTTCCTGCTCCAGGGTCTGTGGGTCAGCTGGGCTCAGTTGAACTTGGCTCTCAGCTGGGGAGGGGGGTCAGGACTGCTCTTCTCACTCTGGAGCCCAGGCTGCTGGAGCAGTACCACCTGGGCGAACCCCTCACGGGGAAGGGAAGAAGCCCCAGGGCCCAACCAAATGGCAGGAGCACACTTAAGGCCTCTGCCAATGCCGACTCATATTCCTTTGGCCAAAGCAGAAATTTTAAAAAATTTGCGTATTGTTAAAATCATCAAGCTTTTCTTTTATGACTTCTAGGTTAGTATATTATATTTTAAAAGGCTGTCCTCCCTTGAGGTTTGCTTTTAAGAATTCTCCCATGTGTTTTCATATATCTTTGATCCATCTGGAAGCTATGTGGAGTAAGAGACAAGGCGCAAAACAGCGATTTTTTTTTTCTCAGATGGCAACCCAGATGTCCCAGCACCATTTGTTGAATAATCCATCTTCCCCTCCGTCTGCAATATTGCCAGTTTCCATGTTTTTGTAGGTCTATTTCTGGACTCTTTTCTGTTCCAGTAAAGGGTCTATTTATATGCCAGAATCACACTGTTTTAATTACTGTGCTTCATATTTTATGATAATAACCAGCAGGGCGTGGTCTTTCTCATTGCTCTTTCTTAGAATTTCCCCCCATATTCTTGCATATTAACCTCATGAAAGTTAGAGTCGGCGTGTTCCTTCCCTCTCCTTCCCAAGTCCTTTCGGGATTTTACTGGAATCAAATTAAGTTTGTGTGGATTCAGATAGAGAGAATTTACGCCCTAAAATGTAGAGCCTTCCAGCCACGAACAGGCTACGTCCCTCCCTTTACTCACGCTCCTCAAGGCTTCGTGATGTTCCCTTCAGCTGGACCCCCCTTTGCACTGTTGGGTTATTCTTGGGTATTTCATCTTCTGTGGCTGTCGGAAATGGGACCCTCCTCCTTTACGGGCCCTGGCCGGTAGCTCTCGGTCTGTGTGAAGGCTGCTATTTCTGTGTATTAGTTTGGTGACTGGCCACCTGCTGACTCTGTTCAGCTTCAAGGGTCGCTCGGTTTGTCCTTGGCTTTCCAAGTTCGCCCTCATTTCATGTCATGAACGTCCCTTCATTGCCTCTTCCTTCTGTTACCTCATCACGTCGCTGGTGCCTCCAGAGCAACGGCGTGATGGGCATGACTTGTTTCTCTAGACTTGGGACAATTTCTAGAGTTTTTGCTGTCGAGGGTTCCTCTTTTAATGGCTCCTGGGTTTTGTGTTGATGTTTAAAATTTAGAGGGATCTACACGTCTTTTTAGATAAGAGCTAGGTCTCTATCTGTCTCCTCAAAGGCCATCAGCCAGCCTCTTCATCCAAATCCTAAACTGGCGTCTCGGCTTCTTCCTCAGGCTTGGTGCAGATGTGGCATCCAGATGTTCCTCCCCGGAGCCTCGTGAAATCTTTAACAGCCCGCCAGTCAGTGTGGGCCCAGCCCACTGCCCTTCTTGGAGAGAGAAGCTGCCACCCTACAGTAATCTGACCCCCAGGCAGCAAGCCAGCCCAGCCAAGGGCCACCCTTTCCCCTTAGAAGGGCCCTGTGACTGCCCTGGTGCTGAGGGCGGGTTCCAGCACGGTGGGGTTATGGGT